AAGAGAGAGAAAAGAGAGATAGAGAGAAAGAGAAAGTGAGAAAGCAAGCCACCAGGTCTGGGACTCGAACCACAGTCAACCATGTGAGAGTCCAGCACCCTTAATCACCATTCCACCTGCTGGGCCCCAGATCACAGCATTTTTTGGGGGGGTGGGGGGGAGAGGTTTTTGCTATAGGGCGCGTGTGCTCGCCAGAAAGTCAGAGAGAGACAGAGAGACAGAAAGTGAGAAATCACTCCCCAGGGGAGATGGCCATGCTACAGTCCCTTCCCCTTCATTCTCCTCTCAGGATCTTTGGTACACGCGCTCATGTGCCCAGCGTGAGTTTAAACTGCCGGGTCCAGGACTCGAACCACAGTCGACTACAATGGGTGTCCAGAGACATAGCCAGTATGCTAACTGCTAGTCCCCAGATCAGAGCATTTTTAAGAAATAGCCAGTATGCGAAGTTCAGATCTCCTTGCCTTCTAAATGATAAGACACACCACGACACTGGACAGTCTCTGAACGTCTTACTTGACTTGGGAGAGAGCATGACCCAGGGGCCTGTTTTCTGAGATGAGTCATTTAGCTTTGTGCTTCACAACTTTTCCTGTATACCCCAAGCCCTTCAGGATCTTGTTAAAAGGGAGACTCTGATTTAGGGGGGTCTGGAGTGGGGCCCAAGATTCTGCATATCTAGTAAGCTCCATGGGGATATGGATGCTTTTAGAAGACAGAGCATACTTAGCAAGAAGTTAAGATACATTGAATTCCCAGGACTCATGGAACAGTAGGCCTTAAAAAATTTCAGTGTTCAGGACCAGCAGTTAGCGCACTGGCTATGTTGCTGGACTCCCATGTAGTCGACCACGGTTTGTGTCCCAGACCCGGTGGCTTAAACCTCACACTGGGCACGTGTGCGTGCATGCCCAAGATCCCGAGAGGAGAATGGAGGAGAAGGGATTGCGGTGTGGCCATTCTCCTTGGGGGGTGATTTCTCGCTTTCTGACTCTCTGTCTCTCTCGGTCTGTCCAGCAAGCACATGCGCCCTATAGTAAAAAACCTCTCAAAAAAAAAAAAAAAAAGTCAGTGCTCACTTCTATGCATAAAGGCTAGTTCTATAGCACAATGGTTAAACCCTGTGTGTGTAGGAAGCCTAATCCTTCACAACTGACCATGGATTTGAATCCCAGACCTAGCGACCTGACCATGCTCCACTGACAGATGTTCACTCTTTGCCTCCTCTGTCAAGCTTATGCCCTCTCCCTCTATTTTCTTTAAGAGAGGTTTTTGCTATAGGGCATGTGTCCTCACTGGAAAGACAGAAGGAGACAGAAAGTGAGAAATCACCCCCTAGGGACTTGGCCATGCCACAGTCCCTTCTCCTCCATTCTCCTCTTGGGATTTTGGGCACGCACACACACACACATCCAGCATGAATTTAAGCTACCGGGTCCAGGACTCGAACCACAGTCAACTAAGTGGGAGTCTAGCAATGTAACCATTATGCAACCTGCTGGTCCTAAGCTGGCAATTAAAAAAAAAAAAAGAAAATAGTTGAGACTTTCCTAGAATTCATAGATTCTCCCTATGTGTTTCATAGTCCTGAGCTCTAGGGAATAACTTCAATTTTGACAGATGATTGTTAGGAGGTGTTATCACCACTGAGCAAGGCAGAGAGCCAGATAATATGCTCTAGAAAGAACCACTCCCTCATTAACTTACAAGCCAGTGGCTCCAGAGTCAAGTCAAAGGTCTCTTTCTTGAATTCCTCCTTTGAGACCCCGGTGTAAAAGGTGATGTTGCCTGAGAGATAGGCTGTGATGGTGTAGCGGTTAGAACTGTTGTTCCGGAAGGTGATGGTGAGCTTGAAGTCTTTTCCCAGCACAGCGGTCTCCACTTCAAAGTCCATGTCAATGTTAGATCTGGGTTTGGTGACATCATCTGTGTGGAGGGGCTTTTTAGCTCCGTACATCAGGGCAGTTTCTAGGGCCAGTCTCTCTTCTTCTTGACCTAGGAGAGATCGAGAAATAGCGACAGGGAAAAGAAAATAACCGTAATCCTCCAAAGAAAAAACCACATCAGTAAACACAGAAGACACTGCCCTGGTTGGATCACTTCTAAAGCCATGTGCTCTTGTTAGTTCAACGTTCTGAACTCTGCAAATGAGTTTTCCAGAAAGTCAATGACCTGCTCAGGTCGCCAACTTTGTGGGCAGCAATGTGAGCGCATATTTGGAAAGGGGTGTTCCAAGAGTCTGTTTCAGAGTTCAGGGGACAAAATTGCAGTATCTGTTTGTTTTCTTCCCTGAGTTCTAGACACATAGCTGGGATTTCAACCTCTAAGCAAAGATTTTGGTAATAATTGTTTGCTTTCTGGATCCTTCCAACAAGACTGTCTTCCTCATCCTTCCTTCCACTTGGGCCTGTCCCACTTGCTCTTTACTAAGCGGGCCATGCCCTGCCCTTCTCTACCTTCCTTGGCGGCCAGTGGCCTCAGAAACAACCCCTAAATCACCTTTTCCCAAACCTCACACCACCTCAGAATGTTTGGTTCCGGCAAGATGTTAGGAAGTCTTCTCTGTACATGGGCCCTCAGGTCAGGTCCCCTGGAAAAGCATTGAGTGGTCTAGTGCTTCCTGGATGTTGACAACTTTCATTAGCCTACCAAATGCTTGGAAATAAAGTCCTCCATTAAGGAGATCTGTTTACTTTTCTTTCACACAAGCTCTTCTGAACTTATTTAACACTGAACACAGAGTTTTTGTTGCTGTTTTTTTTTTTTTGGAGAGATTTTTGCTATAGGGCGCGTGCGCTGGCCAGACAGAGAGAGACATTAGGGACAGAAAGTGAGAAATCACCCCCCAGGGGGGATGGTCACGCCACAGTCCCTTCTCCATTCTCCTCTCGGGATCTTGGGCATGCACGCACACGCGCCCGGCGTGAGTTTTAAGCCACCGGGTCCGGGACGCGAACCATGGTCAACTACGTGGGAGTCCAGTGACATAGCCATTATGCTAACTGCTGGTTCCCATGTTTGCTGTTTTATTTCTTCCAAGAGAGACTGGCATGTCTAATGAGGTCTTTACATTGTGATCCACTTCCAGCCCAAGCCAGCCCAGATCATGGGTAAGCATTTGTGTCCTATGTGCACAGGGAAACCCCAGGATATGAACCCATGACCTTCATATGTGGATCCGGCATTGGCACGTTGTATTACCACTATGCTGCCATGGCTGGCTCCATGGACATGTTTTGAGTGACATCTATTGGCAGGTGATGATGCATCAGGCTTCTGCTGCAGTTTGGGGTATGCGCACCACCTTGAGGAAACTGTCTTGTATTGGTCTTCCAAGGTGGCCATGGTGGAGAAAAAGGAAGGGGGAGAAAGAAAAGAGATGTGCTCTGGAAGAGGGGAAATAGCTTTGCTCAGGCCAAAAAGTGGGAACACAGACATAAGTTGATCCTAGGCACTGACAGGCTGACCTTGGGGAGAGGGTTGGTGGGGGTGCAGAAGGGTGGTGCCATTTTCTTTTCCATTTGGGCATATCCTCATGCATCATGGGAGATAGGGATGAAAAGATAGTCTTTGGCTTGTAAAAACTAGTCATGAGAATGGCTAGCAAAAATAAAAATCACTTTAAAATAAGAATGTTTATTTTAGCAGCAGGTGGTACAGAGGTTCAGATGCTAGATCTCACATAACCAGCTGTGTGGTTTGAGTCCTGGACCCAGCAGCTTGAAAATCAAGCCAGGTGCATGTGTGTACATGCCCCAAATCCCAAGACAAGGCTGGAGGAGAAGGAATTGCTGCATGGCCAGCCCTCTTGGGGTGATTTCTCATTTCCCCCTCTTTCTCTCTTTCATGCACATGCCCTATAGAAAAATAAATAATAAATAAATAAAGCTGGCTTTTATGGTCACTGAGTGCTAAGTATATGCCAGATGTTGGGATAAGTTCTCATTGTGTACCATCTCATTTAATCCTCATTGCTCTATAAGACAAGTGTGACTGCTATGATCAGTTTCCTCATTTAGAAAACAAAGGCACCTACATGGTAGGGTTGTTAGGTGGGATAGAGGTAGCCAGTACGTAATAAGTGGAAGCTATTTTACAAAGACAGTGAAAACACTAGCCAGTGTCGCATCCCAACGTGAACGCATACTTGTGTGTATGTGTGTATTAATAATTTCTCTGATTTTTTTTTCTTTTTTTTTTTTTTTGAGAGGTTTTGCTATAGGGCACGTGCACTTGACAGAGAGAGACAGAGAGACAGAAAGCGAGAAATCACTCCCAAGGGGGTATGGCCACGTTGCAATCCCTTCTCCTCCATTCTCCTCTCACGATCTTGGGCACACATGCACACGCGCCCGGTGTGAGTTTTAAGCAACCAGGTCCGGGACTCGAACAGCGGTCAACTACTTGGGAATTCAGCGACATAGCCATTACGCTAACTGCTGGTCCCAATCATTTCTCTGATTGTCAAGACTGCCGGAATACTCCAGAAACATTTGGTCTAGGGTAGCCTTGGCTGGAGCACATGTTTACAGATCAATAGGAGGGAGGTAATAAAGGGAAGGATGGGGGTGGGCAGTGAGAGTGCAGCGAAATATTTAAGCAGAAATCATCTGGCAGACAGGGCCCTGAGAAAGAGAGCATGAGCGATGATCACTCTGGACAGGAGCCACATAGGCATTTAGGCAAAATGCAGGAGGTGAATGCAAGCCGCAGGAATGAAACCAGAACAGTGCTGCTTTTGGGGAGAGGAGAGTTGTTGGTGAAGTGAGAGGAGAGGCAGGAAAAGGCTCATGGCCAGTAAGTAGCTGCTTCATAGCAAGTCCTGGAGAGAGGAGCCTGAAACTTCCTTCTGGGAAAGTGCTTGCCTCAGTAAGCAGGGGGTTACTGGGCAGAGCTAGGCTGGGGCTGTTCCAGGAAGCACAGGCCCAGATAGGAGGAAAGAACTGCAGGGTTGTCCCGGAGCCTGGCAGAGTAATTTCTCTGCAGTTACACTCTGAGCTCTGGCGTCTTACATAATTCAGGGCCATGGGCCAAATTTTAGTGCTATGAGAGATTTTCTAAAGCCAGATTCTATTTTCTGTAGGCTCTAGGAGCAAGGTCAAAAATGACTTTCCATTCACTAGGATGTAATGAGAGAGCCTTTCATATTAAATGAAGCCTCTTCTCATTGTTCTCATAGTCTTAGCTCCAAAGTCACCTCTTCCCCCTCTTTACCCCGGGTAATGCATCCCTAAATTCCAGTCTCTCTCTCCTGCTAGCACGTTACCTGGTTTCCTTCCCTCCTCCTTGTCCAGGACTTGCCATTGTGTCACATTATCTCCCTGCTTGATGCAAACGCCAGAGAAACTTTGGGAATGGTTCTTTGGGTCACTTCATGCTCTTGGAACCCCCTCAGTATTCCAGGCACTGTGCTAGGCACAGATTAGAAACATAGCCCTTCCCTGGGTGCAGAAGGGACAGGTGAAGAGCAGCCACTGTGTAGACATGTTCACAGAGGGGACAGACATTGGCACATGTGCTTGGGAACGTGAGGGAGAGATCTATAATCTGCCGGGAGGCAGGGCAGACTCTCGGAGATTCTTTTCCCTGCCAAAGGCAGAGAAGCGAGCGAGAATTTGGCTTTTTTGGGGGTAAATGCCTGTAATGTATGAACCTGTGGGCCATGGTCGGGTGGCACCGTAAGGAGGCCAACTAACAAGAGGCTTTGGGAGCTATGGTTGAAATGCCTTGGGATGCCTTGGAGGAAACGGAGAGACAGGGGGCTTTTAAGCAGTCCTGCCACAAGCACAAGTTTATAATTCATTTTGGCGGCAAAGCAGGAGTTAGACTGAGAGAAAGAGAGGAGGAAGAGAGATGATGGAATTAGGAAGCTAGAGCATTTTTGTTTTTGTTTTTGTTTTTCCTATGGAGAGAGTGTGCTTGCTGGAAAGAGAGAGAGAAAGTGAGATAGCACTCCCCAGGATCTTCCACACACAATCCCTTCTCCCCCTATTCCTCTATTCTTCTCTCCAGATTTTGAGCAATCTTGCAGTCATGCTTGGTGTGTTTTTCAAGCTGTGAGGTCCAGGACACAAGCCGTGTGGGATTCAGACACCTTAACCACCATGCCAGTTGGCCCACCAAGCACTTCACTTGCTTCAGTGGAAGTTAAACCTAAGTTTTATTGGCAAATACTGTGTGTCCGGCATAACACTGAGGACACATTTCTGACTACCTGTTTTGTCTTCAAGTTCTTTCCAAGAGACCTGGGGGAGTCATATCCACAGACATTAACCTTGCTAAAGAAGACAGCTCTGGCCCAGTGATGTGACATGCTTCCTACATTCTGACTCTGTGTATGACAAATAGAGTGAAACCTTCCTACTTCTGTTAAAGATAAACTCAGACCTTCTTTTCTGCTGACGCTGAGTCTTTCTGAGATAAAGTCTTATGCTTTTTTTTTTTTTTTGGAGAAATTTTTTTGCTATAGGGTGCATGTGCTTGCCCGAGAGACAGTGAGAAATCACCTCCAGAGGGGATGGCCATGCCATAATCCCTTCTCCTCCAGTCTCCTCTCAGGATTTTGGGCACGCATGCACATGCACCAGACATGAATTTAAAGCTGCCAGATCCGGGACTCTAACTGTGGTTGACTACATGGAAGTCCAGCAACATAACCGTTACTCCATTTGCTGGTCCCAAAGACTTATGCTTTTAACTAATTACTAATCCAAATCTGCAAAGACAAGATACTAATCTAATAATTTCTAAACACACCTATAACTCTGCTTCTGGATGTTCCACCTATTTCATGCTAATCTGTAAACAATACTGACACCAACATCTCCTAGACCAACACCTCTACTGGCATCTATAGGTGCACCTATACCGGTGCTCACACCAACATCTATTGGCACACCCCTTCCACCCATGTGTGCACCTCTAGGTCTAACAACCAACTCCTATTGGTCTACCTATACATACACCTATCCCCACACCTATGTGAGCACCTATACCAACACCTTTACAGAAACCTATACTAATGTCTATACCAGTGGCTATATATACACCTATCTTGGCACTTTTAGGTCCATCTATGACACCCGTGTGTGCACCTGTACTGTCACCTATGCTGACACTCAAAGGTCCATCTATGACACCTGTGTGTGCACCTATACTGTCACTTATGCTGACACTCATAGGTCCACCTATGACACCTATGTGTGCACCTATGCTGACACTCATAGGTCCACCTATGACATCTATGTGTGCACCTATACTGTCACCTATGCTCACATTCATAGGTCCACCCATGACACCTGTGTGTGCACCTACACCGACACCTATACCAACACCTATACCAATGTCTATATGTTCCCTAGAAGCACTCCTATATCAACACCTGTAAGCACACCTGTATCAATACCTATACTGACACCTTTATGTGTTGCCATAGTTTTGCTTCTATCTCCTGCTTTGAATAAAAGAACTTGCTGTAATTTAGTTCATTTATTAAAATAGCTAATCCCCAACTCTAGCAATAAGATTTTTCCCCATGATTTTTACTCATCTCCCTATCAGTGTCCACACTTAACTCTCTGCGGATCAGAGGAATTACAAGAGCGGCTCAATGGTGAGGAT